CTCCGGAAAATCATGTCTTTAACAGGTATGTGTGTGCATATGTATGCTTATGTTTCTATGTATGTATATATGCAATTGTACTATCTGGGATTTTTGTGGGTTTTTATGATGTGACTATTTCTGTGTTTTTGTTTTTACTTATTGTTGAACTCTGTGTGCGTCCATGAGCCTCTAATGATTTGAGTGTATCTATTATCTGAAAATAGGATCTTTATCTTTGTTTTTTTGGGTGGGTGTTTTGTGTATAATTTATATATTGTGATTTCAGGGGCTGGAAAACAGTCATTGGATGGTGTAAGAAGTGAGAGGGGAAATGGTGGTGGTGGTGGAGACAAGGTGAGACTGTAGATAAATTTTTCATTCTTGTGAAAAACGGAAAAATTGTGTGATTTAGTTTGTTTGGATAGTGAATTTATATCTTGAGTCCTTTGTTTCTACAAATAGTTATAAGCTGGGTAAAGGAGGAATTATAGTTGGATTATAGCTGTATTGAATATTTTTGGGTTTCGACGGGATGTTCGCTTCTTCATTTTATGGTGATTAATTGCAATGAATGCTGTTATGGTGACTTTGAGTTGTAGCAGAAGACTAATCTTGGTTTTGTTTTTGAATTGTGATGGCCAATTAGAATACCCAGTAGTTGTAAATAGTTGACAACGATGACAACAACAAACTAAGTCTTGCCTGCACTTTGCTGTAAATCCGGGGATTTCTATGTGAATCCTTTTCACCACTCTGTTTGATTTGTTGCTAGATTTAGTGGAAGATATAAAACAATTAGATCATCAGCAATTGCAAAAAAAAAACTATGTTAGTTTTGGCTTACCTCTTCCTCTTGTAACTTGTTCTACCGAGATAGTATCCCTCTTATGAAAGGGGCCTCGTTAGGAAGATATTCTTGTCTTTATTCTGATAGCATTTGTCCATTGTCATGCAAATATTTCAAAACCGTATAATTGCCTGAGGAAGATATGCTTTATGGAAGGTAAATTCCATTTTTAGTAAGGTCAAATTAGATGTTTAATGCTTAAACTGGGACTTTTTAGACAACAAAAAAATATATATAGAACTTCGGCCATCACGGTAGGCGAATTGAAAATAAATGGAGAGTAATATTAGAACTGCATAATTGGGTTGACAATTTATGCAGGCGCTTGGAAGCAAGGAAAAAGAAAAACAAGAAAGCCAAAGAAGAGAATGTAGACTTTCAGGGCCATGAAAAAATAAAATTTGGAGATATTGTTGAAGCACCACCTAAGTTAGTTGCATTTCCCAAGGTATCCAGTTCTTCATTTGTTCTATAAGATTCACACACAATGATAATTTTTATATTAACCACAGTTTTCTGGCTGTAACAAAGGGTTTGAAGACTGTTCAGGATGCTTCACGAGAAAGGCTCCGTTTACAGGCAGTTGATGCCTACAGGAATCGGAAGGGATGGATTTCAAGGCCTGGATTTCAGCTTCCTCTGTCTATGAATGTGCCACCATCATTATAGTCGACCAAACAGAGAAAAGATACCTTTCACCCGTGTGGCATATGAGCAAGCTCTACGTATATTCACACGATTCTGAGGCATCTGAAATCTCTAATTGGTGTCCAGCTTTATAGCAATGAATGCGAGCAACCTATTTATGTTACCGACTCGAATTATTTACACCTATCATCATCATGGCACAAGGTGTATACTTTTTAATACTTGTGCAAATGGAATGGTATCCCAGACCCTGTAACCCAGTTCAATTCTCAATGTTATTTAATCCAGCCATAGTTTGTTGCTGCACGAGTTTTGTGTGCCTATCTTATCTTATTAGCAAAATTGTATTACTTTTCTTAATAAGGCATATTGTTGGTGACACTAGACACAATTATCAAAATGCAGCTGTTATTTTTTATCGTAATCACTCGAGTCTTCGTGCCCGAGTTGTTAAGTCTTTGTGCCCGAGTTGTTATATCATACATATTGTTTGCTTTGAGAGAAATTCTACTCATCTTATCCCTGATAGATTTTTATCACATCCCAACTTAAGTCTCTTATGATACAGATGTTTTGGGTTCAAATTTTGGAGGATACAATAAAAATATGTTAGTATACTGACAATTTGGACGCAGATGCTCGAGTTATTACGAGTCCTTGTTGTACAAGCCAAGTTGTCAGACACTTTGTAATTGACATCCGTCATATACTAATTCGCATGTTATAAATTGTAAGTAGAGGAGAGTGGTGCCTAAATCGCATGTTATAAATTTGATATATATTTTGTTGGGGTGCAAAACTTGGTCTGAGATCTTCTTGGATTTGACAATGATTTACGTGAAGCGACGAAATAAAATTCAGGTGAACAAAAATTTATTATTGACGTAAAAACATCTTGAGTACACTGAGTAGGGTGGTTACAGAGTAATATGCCAATATCATATGGACATTTTTTCAAGTTCTAACTTTTGTGCTACGATTTTGCCCTTAAATATACAAATTACACAGCAACCTCCGTTTTGAGGTAGCTAGTCTACTCTGTGGAAGGCACGAACATGAAGTCCGCCATCGATATGAAGATTGATCATTGTTCTGTAGTTTACTGGCTTTCGACTGTCACTCAATTTGAACACGAAGTATCGTAGCAGAACAGTTGAGAAAATCTTCATCTGCCTATACGCAAATTCCTTCCCCAAACAAATTCTTGGGCCTGCCTGTTCATCATCAGAATTTCACGTTTGTTTACAAGAATCAGATGTTTCCTTTATTGTTAAAGAGATAGTATGACCACATGAATAAATATGTCAATGCAGGTGATATTCCATGAGCAAAAAGAATTAAAGTTTCAGTGATCTTTCAACTTTCACATGGACTAAATGTATCACTTAATTTTTATTTTTATTTTTTAAGAGCAAAAAATATGTTAAATGTGAAAATCTTCATGTCATAAAACCTTAATGCTTGATTATTAATACAATTTTTTTTTTTTCACTCTATTAAAAGTTTTGAAAACTGGAAGCTTGAATAATTAATGTAACAACAAGATTATATTAATTTTAATATCCTTTCAACTAACCTGAAAGGCTGTAAATTTGAAGGGGCTCTCCTGCTTGAAGAAACCTTTTTCGTCCATCCATCTTTCTGGTCTGAAGTCTTCTGCATCGTCACCCCATAAAAATCTCATTCTTCCCATTGCATATGGTTGGTAAGCCACAAAATCCCCTTTATTCACACAGAACCCATCTGGCATTATGTCATCAGACAAGCATTGTTTTGCATCCTGGAATTATGGCAAATTTTAAATCATAATCGTATAATTAGTTGTAAGTGGTGAGTGTAGCTGGCTTCTTATATAATATGCTTAGAAACTACCTTTTAATGCATAAAACTTGACAATTCAAATATATGAAAACGAAACTGAAGTTCACATTAGCAAAGAAATTCAACAAGGATTAATTTCAAAATTGGTGCTCAAGAACCATAGAAAGAGTTAAAGATACTAAACAAAGATAATTATTAAAGGGCTATAAAAAAAATTGCAACCACCTGAATCAAACTGATCCCAGGTTTCAATTAAAGAAAATCCAGTAACCATATTGGCCCATCTCGAGCACGTATTCAACAATATTATAAGTATCCTCAGAAGTTCTGTAGTAGGGCAAAAGAATGAACTCAAAAATGTGATTTCTAACCTGTCCTAGTATATGTAATAATGGAGTGTAATCATTGATCCAGATGAAATGGGAGAAGTATCCTGAACTATTTTTCGTCCAATGAAGTCAATTTCACATAATCAATCCGACGTATTTTCATTTTTCCTGAACTTATCTGTAGATTTAGTGGTATGGTTTTGCTTCGTATTATGGAAGTGAGATATTAGCTCAAAAACAGTGAATCTTCATACCACAGGAACAGCAGGATAGAGTCTGAGGGTTTCAGTCAATGCTGCATGAAGGTAATGCATCTTCTCCAAAGCTTCTTCACTCACACTGGAAGCAAATTCTGAAACATCCACAACCTTTTCTGTTTTTGTCGCTTCTTTTATTTCTCGTGCCACCTTTTCCTGTACAAGAGGATGTTTGCAAAGGACGTAAATAAACCAGGAGAGAGCAGTTGCTGTTGTGTCTTTCCCAGCTATTATGAAGTTCAATATTATATCCCTCAAGTATTTTGGATCCGCCTCATTGAACTGCAAGAATCTTGTTAAAATGTCTTCTTTCTGTAGCTCCATCTGGCACACGACAACAATATCTAATTATTCAATGACATTCGACTAAGACCTCGTTTGACTATGTCTAAAAAAGCAAAGTTACTTAAAAGTAACTTATCCAAACATGATGTAAATAACTTTACTCATTTTTTAGGCTTAGCCAAACATGCTCTAAGGTAGAATCTTTAAATTGGTTCACCTACAGAAGAATCATTCTTTGACTTGTGCATTTCCTCAACTTTAGTCTGAATCAACTTATATACAAAATCATCAATTACTCGAATATTTTTCTTCAACTTCGCTTCTGATCCAACATTAAAAGCTTTTTTCATCTTCCAGAAAATATCAACATATCTCCAAAGAGTCATTGCACTTGCATTGTCAAAAGCTTCGCCAAATTTGGCACCTTCTTCACTTGAACCACACATGCTGTCTAACTCAACTCCAAAGGCAACTTTGAAGATAGAATCTAAAGTTGATTTCATAAACAGAGCCTGCATTTTTTTGCATAGGTTAGTTGTCAGATCAAATTTAAGGGGATTTGTTCGACTGGGGAAGTTATGAGTCGCAGAACCTCACTTGAATGTCCATTGTTTGGTTGGAGTTTGCAGCTTCAGACACTACGTTAGCAAGCTTGGCAACATTTTTTCTAAAGACTATAGTGCTAAAGTCTCTCAATACCCTTGCAGAGAATTCATAGCTTGATACCTTTCTCTGCTCCCGCCACTTGTCACCATCAACAGTGAAAATCCCATCACCTAATAGACCACTTAGAATGTGGTAATTATATGATCCCTGTAAAAAACATAAATCCTTGAATTACAAGCCCGTGCTGTAGTATTCTAGAACTGATGGTGAATATAAATAAGTACAGGGCATGAGCTTACCATTTTACTCACAAAAATTCTCATGCTATGTAGATGATGGAGACTACACCCAATTATGGACATCCCATCAAAATTATGTACTGTTTCTAGATGTAAATTTAAAAAGGAGTCATGACTTGGTTTTATTGTAGTTATAGTTTTTAAATTAGAGAAATTTCTCATTGGCTATTTTAGCAAATTTTCAGTCTCATTTGTATCTCTCAATAAATTCTTGAGGTTGTCTGGGAAGGATCAAGTTATAGAGAGAAAATGGAATATGAGCATCTTCAATAGACTTTATTTTTAAAGAGTATATTTTGCAATTCAAAGAGCGTCTATAAATTTAGAGGGTAAAAATTTTTAAGTGCTCCAGCAAGCTCTTTATTATTAACACTTAATTTTACTACTCCCAAAAAATATTTATTGTCTTTCCCTATATTTTCTGTTCACTAGTTTTCCTCCAAATTATTATATCATTTTTCAATGAAAAATGAAATACTTTAAAAGTTTAATTATAGAGAATAGATCTATTTTAGAGCATTTCCAAGACTCTTTATTTTTAAAAAACATATTCTACAATATAGAGAGTAGAAATTTTTAAGTGCTCCAATAGACATTTTATATTTAACACTTATTTTACTGCTCCCAAAAAATATTCATTGTTTGTTATATCTTTTATTTTAAATAGTTTCCCTTCAAATTATTTTCCTACGTTTATAATTGAAATACTTTAAATGCATTTAATTATAAATAGTCAAACTCAATCTCTAGATTCAAATATTAATTTAAAGAGTCTCTTTAAGCATAATTTTAAGCGTTGACTCTTTAAAATAGAGAGAATCTTATATTTAAAGAGTTCCTTGGAGATGATCTTTAAATATTAATTTAAAAAGTCTCTTAGAGTATAATTTTAAGAGTTTTTTTTTTTTAAAAACTAGAGAGCATCTTATAATTAAAGAGCCTCGTGGAGATGCTCTAAGACCTTATTTTTCGAAATTATGTTTAAAATGCCCTTTTCATATTTCAATGAGCCCTTCCCCTTGCTTTTCCTCACTACACCCCAGCAATATT